CTGGAAAAGTCCTGGATAAATCCTGGATTAGTCCAAAAGTAGTGCCGGAGATGTCCTGGAAAGGTTATGCGCAATTTCTTCGGTCATGTAGAAGTGGTGGAGAAATCCTAGAGAAGTCCTGGAAGGCTATTTGGAATTCCTTAAGCGGTGGTAGATTTTATCCTATGCGGGTCGGTTATTTTGGATTCGTGTAAGTTTGATTGGGAAAAGTTAAATTGTATTAGGTAGCGTTGAGGCTTAGGTTGGGTTGGGTTAGGTTTGGTTTGGTTATGTTAAGATAGGTTCAGTTAAGTTAGGTAAGTTAAGGGTGCGTTATGTAAAGTTGTTGTTTTACGATGGGTTTGGTTGTCCTGGAGAATGTATAAATATGGACCGACAACAATGGTCAGCTTTTATATGAACTGCTGCGTGCATTGTTATGTTACCTTAGAACTATTTGTTAGTTATCTGTTTACTCGGCATGTTACCGGAGAAAGTAACTGTTATGTTATCTGTTTATTCGGCATTTTTGTGTTTCATTACTGCCGTCAACAATCCGCTTTCGTTATTGCGGAAAGAGCTGAGCTGTGAATCGCTTGTGGAATTTCGTGGTAGAGTAGATAATATTGTTCTGTTAAAAAAGTTTTAGAACTTGAACAAACTCTTGTAAGAGAATTAGGCTTGTAGGCAGTTTGTATTCTTAAGGTACCGGAGCCAAAGTTACAAGACATTATTCCCACACCATGTGGCTCAACGCGTCGTTGAATCTCCGTAAGAGTTAGGCTCACACGGTATAGAAATTGTTTTTAAGGTTTTACATCGAGGTCGGAGTCGTACATCTTTACTGACTCCGACTCCACCTAAAATTGCATCCGACCCTGCAATCCTGTGTAGAAGTCCTGAAGAAATCCTGGAAAAGTCCTGGAAGGTTATTCGGAATTCCTTAAGCGGTGGTGGGTTTGATTCTATGCGGGTCGGTTATTTTGGATTCGTTTAAGTTTGATTGGGATAAGTTACATTGTATTAGGTGGCGTTGTGTGTTAGGTTGGGTTAGGTTGGGTTAGGTTTGATTTGGTTTTATTAGGTTAAGATAAGTTCAGTTAAGTTAGGTAAGTTAAGGGTGCTTTATATAAGGTTGTTGTCTTACGGTGGGTTGGGTTGTCCTGGAGAATTTTCATCGTATTCATCGTTGGGACTTATTGTAAACGTCCTTGAGAATCCTGGAGAATTCCTAGAAAATTCGTGGAGAAATCCTGGTAATATCCTAGAGTGGTGTCGGGAAAGTCCTGGAGACGTAATGAGCAAATTGTTTTGTCATGGAGAATTGCTGGAGAAATCCTGTGAAGTCATTTGTAAGTCCTTACGTGGCGGTTGGTTTTATCCCATGGTGGTCGGTTATTTTGGATTCATTTAATTTGGATTTTAGATAACTTACATTGGATTAGGTTGCGTTTAGGGTTAGGTTTAGTTAGGTTAGGTTAGGTTAGGTTTTATATGTTAGGTTAGATAAGGTTGTTTTGTTTTACGTCTGGTTAGGTTTTACCCTGAAGTATTTCTAGCGTTGTTCTAGGTAGTAGATATCTTGTCATGTCTGTATGTAGGTTTCCCCGCTACACTTCATGGACAAATTTCCCTTTTGCTTACTAGGTGGCAGTCAGTTCGTGAAAGTCGGAGTACAGAAGCGACAGCAATATAAAGTGGTTAACTCAGATAATTCAATAAGCCACATACAAAGTGTGAAACATGCCTCCTCGTAGATCGAGAAGTAAAAGGAAGACGCCAGCTAAAAGAAAATCAGCGAGGAAAGTTAAGCGGCGCGCAGTTTCTAAGAGGAGGAGTAAGTAGAACCTCACCTATATCAATATTAAATCTTAATATATTAGTGGTCGAGACTCATTTCAGGTGTTCTTGCATATGTGTACAGATTGGTAATCTACCTGAAACATATGACGTCCGTTGCATAAAATACGGATCAGGATCTTAGGTTTGGCATATCGGCTTGGTTAGTGTTTAAAATGGCCCCCAAGATTTATGTCCACTTGACCTAGTTAATTTGCAACGAACGGGACGCATCTTGAATGAGGCTGTGTTTTGTTAAGCATTTCGCTGAAGAACCACTTTAGTACTACTGGAGCTGAGAGACAATCTGTCTGCACATCACAGCTAGTGTTACTTTTCCCCAGAGATAAAATAAAAACAGTAAATCTAAGCTATATTTACTCTTGTGACCAGTTTAGTGCCTGATCAGAGATGAAGCCCCAAACTTAAGACTGAAGGTATCAAAACGTTCTGTTCAGTCATTGCTGTTGCATCATACACAGTCAAATGTGATTGGGCCTCTGGAATAGTAATTTGAACATTTAGCTGGAGAGAAAGAAGTTGTATATTGTAAGCTGGACTTTGCCATGCATAAAAAATGATGGTGTGGTGTTTGCATGTTTGTGTAGCTAAGATATTTTGAGTTATGTCCTACATTAATAAGCGTTTATAACTGCTTGTGTTGGGTTTATAAATACATTCAATATTTAAATGCTGTGTGATAAACTTTTTCAGGTCGCCCTACTACTGCCAAAAAAGCTGTGGGAGCTCTTAATAAAATGATAGACAAAGCTGCAAAACAAGCAGTGAGAAAGAGTATGAAGGCTAGTTCTAAACGTAGAAGGAAGTCTGTCTCAAGGAAATCAACTTCTCGAAGATCCAAAAGCAGCAAGAGGAAAACGTGAATGTTTGGAATTTGGGGTGAATTTCTTCATCCAGATTACCATTTTCACCACTCATCAGTCTTTGTTGTAATGTGCCTACCAGTTTGAAATGTGTTGCATTATATTCTCTGAACCTCAGATGTAGGATTTAAACCGGTAGCACTGTACACAATTGTTGTCCATTGTGTACAATATGCAGAAATTGCTGGGCCCTGGTGTTGGTTTATATTAAAATTTGTTAACATTTTTGCATAATTATCTTGCATATACTGTATTATAAAGTTTTCCATCACACTTTGATGAAATACTGATTAACAACTGTAATACAGTGTGTCCACAAAGTCCCTTCGGGGATTTGAAAAATTGTGGCGCGCAAACAAATTGAGCTAGCCACATGCGGTTTGCGGCAGATTACAGTGAAACTCTGGAAGCTTTTTTGCTGACCTCAGTAGATCTTCCTTGGTAGCACGGAGAACGTCCAGATATTCGAGCTCTTGCCATGTTCTGTTGAGCATGTCCGCTGGAATAGCCGAGATCGCATTTCCGATACGGGTCTTCAGGTCAAGTCCGTTAACTGGTGACCTGAAGGCGTCTGGATGTTCTCCATTTTACCAAGGGAGCCTACAACGAGGTCTACTGATGTCAGTAAAAAACTTCCAGAGTTTCAATTCTGCTGCAAATCGCATATGGCTAGCCCAGTTTGGTTGCGCGCCACAATTTTTCAAAACCCCGAAGGGACTTTGTGGACACGCTGTACATTTCAAATGTATTACATCATGTCTAAATATTTTGCCATGCCCCATTGATTGAGATTTGCTATTTTGTGGGCTTATGATAAAATTTATTCATGCAAATGTATTACTTGAATTGCTTGCAATTAAAATTTTTATTCTGTAATGTACAGACAGTCCATGCATGGACATGTTTCTGTTTTGCAATAAAAATTTATCTGCAGTAGTACAATTTTTTTAAGAGTTGTGAAGTTCAGTACTTTCAGAATTTCTATCTCTTAGATCATGAATTTTACTTTAAGTACAGTCAGTTGTATTAGTTTTTTCTTTCTTTATTTTGTTTCCAGGTTATTATGTTTTTAAGCTTGTCTTCTGTGGTAAACCTTACTTCTTAATAATTCGGAATCCCCAGACTATTGGTCTTGGCTTTAACTTCTGCCAGCCATGTATCATGGCTTATGCACAGTCCAGCTGACTGCATGATGCAGTAGAATATCACGTCCTTTAAACACCACCTCCACCCCATGACTTTAGATAACTTGTAACAACTTTCCCTGAATTAAGGTACGATTAAAAAGTGGTGTAGGTTGGTGAAAAATAACACGCAGAAAATGTAGACATGACATTTTAAAGTGTTTATAATGATTGAAAGTGCATAATTATTTTCAAATAAATTGTAGCCAGAGAAACATTGATATGCGTTGCAATCGTGTTTTGCATGGAGACTTTCGTTTCCAAACTGTCTTGGTTTAGTTTACATCAGCCTTTTGATATGCACTACAGTAACTGGAGTCACATTCTCATACGTTTGAGTTTATACAATTTCTGTTAAGGTTAATGTTCAACCTGTTTCAGTAAATTGGCCAGGACAGAACTGTGCATTAGAAGTAAAAGGCATGGGAATCAGAGGAGAAGATCAGGGTAGTAGATAGTAGTAGTAGTAGTAGTAGTGACCACTTGTAGATCAGTCTACCACTATTTATATGAATCCTTTAAAAAGTCATGTACCTCTCAGTCATGGTCTTCTGGGTTGTGATGCTGTGTGCTCTTGTATGCACCTACAAACAGCAGTGATGATTAAGGGATTCATGTAACTATCAACAATTTATGATGCCTTTATTCCTAACCTCTTATGGAAATAGGACATAAATATTTCCATACGTGGTCCTTTTTATTTTGACGTAAATACATCCATACGGAAGGGTCATTCGGCAAATAAATGTAACGAAGACGGGTCACGAAAAACTTGAGGTCGCGGCCGTGGGTTTTCGTGAATACGTCTGCGTTAGCGGGTAATATTTTCTTTGGGATTTGGGAATGAAATGAAAGTAACGAAATGGATAAATGGCTTTTATTTAGCATAACAAATACACATAGTCTCCGATGAGATGCGTTGCTTGTATTTCCTCTGGGCGTTTCGGTGAGTATGGGCCGACAACAGAAAGTTTAAATTCTTCACGAATTATTTTTGATTTGTCACCAACATATATTTTACAAAGTTGGCTTAAATCGACAAATCTAGACTAAATATTTCCTTTGACACCAAAATCAGCGCGCTAGCACATCGGAGTCGCGAGATATACTGCCCGGAAAGTTTCGCCCACGCCGAAAATGGTCGCCAGTCGCCGCAGGCCGCCACCCGCGCCTCGCGCATGCCCGGCGCCAACTCAAGGTCATGCTCGCATCGTAGTCGTACTCCCGATGAACGAGACCACATTTATTTAAATCGTGTTATTAGTCACGAGGTTATAGTGTCGGAATGGATCACCCTGCAAACGTTACATCGCCGTTTCCGTCCTGGTACCCCATATGTCGGTCTGACTTTACAGACGTATTGATGTCAAAATGTATAAGATCAATATCAACAAATCGACAACAGTGGTTACCTAGGAAACGTCATCTGTTTACTCGGCATTGTTGGTACCTAGGAATCTTGACCAAGTGGTTGGTCAAGTGTTTTAACCCTTCAGGGGGGTGAGTTTAGTTTCTTACTCAAGATTTTAAAACGCAACCAAGTCTTTTAACCACCTTCCTTTCATTTTATTTATTGCCTAAATATAATTTAAATACAGAGACGTATTTACTTCAGATTCTCCGGAACCGTGGTTCCACTACTACTTTTTGGTTTAGTGAATTGTATTATTCATGCTGTATCATAGTTGAGTTAATCCTTGCTTTGTCACAACATTGTTATATCAGTCGTTAGAAGTCATTGTCAGACATCTCGAGACGTAAATTAAATGACAGATATCTTGTGATTAATTGTAATAATTTAATGAATTTACTTATGTAGGTCCGTGACAGCGATGCACTGTTTCTGTTTCGTAAAATTAATTATAAAATTTCCTGTTTCTGAGAAACATTTTGTTGAGTTACAATTTATGTGTCGAATGAATAGGCCTATTAAAATGTCTCATATCACTATCCTGAGCTTTTAAATATTAGTGATATGTAAATATGCTGTCTTCTGAAGATGTAGTTTATCATTTATATTATTTCAGTCAGCAATTTAAGCTTATTTTGTTTGTATACCACAGAATATTAACGATCATGGTTACTGTTAACTTACAAGCGTTCATGTAGTACTCGTGGTGTTAAACTGAAGGCATAGACACAATTGTTGCTATTGTTAGACCGAATTCCCTTCTCTGAGTTTGTAATCTGCATTTCATCAGATCTTGACACTTCATTAATGACATAGTATTATCCAGTAACCGTGTTAATTGAACAAGAAATAATGGAGTAATAATGATATTGATACTATCAGATTACCATAAATTGAAACATAACTTGTGTATTTACTACCCATAGATTACTTCCAGTAAATTATGTAGAAATTGCAACGCTGTACTAATTTGGCCTAACGGTAGTTGACCAACTTTACATTAGCTATTGACACGATGTTTCATTGTATCAGATCATTACACAAACGTTCGTTTGCAACCCGTTACGGAAACGTAAAATGTTTGGTTCCAAGACCCGTAATTATAACTGCACACAAAAAATTTGTTATTCTCAATATGAAAAGAACCCCCTTCCCGGCGTAGTGGTTTATATTTATTTGTTTGAAATCTAACCTTGGCCCGGAGGCCGGCTATTGAAACGTAATTTTTCGTAGTTTTTTCTGAGGATAATGGTGATAAATAACAAGTGCTAATTCACCTATTAATTCATAATATTCCCGTCAATTGCTGTGTAACACAGTATAATCCATGCAATTGAAAGACGTAATTAAATACACATAGCTTACTGACAATTAAAGATGCATCTCTAGATGTCAGATATTTTATTTATGCTAATTAAATTTCATGAAAAGAAGTTAAAATTCAATAAAAGCTCCCTGAAAAGTATCATGGAATAGATGGATGCTTGTTGTATTAGTTTTTTCTCTGAGGACAGGTCCATATGAACAGGATCCTTCCATCCTTTTCTCGGACTGGGACCTGTTCATATACGTTCTTGGCAGATAATCCAGAAGTGGTTTGCCATTGCCTTCTTCTGTGTGTGAATGGAGTAATTGTTGGGATGCCACGGAGAAACCGGGGAAGCCCCCGGAGAAAAACTCCGTGTTGCCTAGACCACGGCCTTGCCCAACACAAGTTATAAATTCGGGCACCGCCGGGAATCGAAACCGAGTCTCCCAGGATTACAAGGCCAGCGTTCTAACCGCTAGACCACCGTGGCATATAGATGGATGCTACAACCAAAATATTTCACGTATATCTTGGAAGCGTTTACTAATTGCTAACATACTCGTTAACCTCATTATTTCCATCACCAGACTCGTGTAATGTTATTTAATTTCACTATTCATGTCCTAAGTTTACACAACTGAAAAATACATTTTTTATCATTTTTGTCATGTGGTAACAATTAACAAACTGACAGTCCAAATGTGGACTCTTGAAACTTGTTGGTTCCTGAAGAGAGTCAAAGCCCAAATAGTTGAAGATAGAAAGAGCGGACATCAGCAAAAAAGAAAATCGAATCCCGCAGTCCAGCAAAGCCTTGCCTGTTGCCCTCAGAGAGAGGACGTCAAGTTCTGTTATTATAAAACAACAAAAGACTGCGCTAAGTCCAGATCCCTGGGGGAATGTGTCTACGTCCTGTTGGGATTGCTCATATTTCATTGCGCTTTTGTTGAGATCGTTGATGGAAGAGTATTGATTTATGGATAGACTGGGGTCCACGAGCCAGATGTTTTTCGTAAGTATTTTTATTCCTTTATTTTGTCTGGCAAATGAAGTGAAGATGGTTGGAAAATGACTGTAGTTTATGTCAGGAATTCGCTTGCAAGCACTGGAGGAAACAAGAAAAATCAAATAACAAGGAAAGCAGGTTCTACAGTCGAGATTGATATTCATTTGTTCTCGAATACAACCTACAAGTATTTTGCTGACATACGTTTGTCGAGCAAGTAGGTTTTGTGTGAAATTTTAATAAACTATTCCCATTCCGCTAGGTTACCAGGCATCTAAAATACCGGGAAATTACTCAGAAGCTTCTTATTATATAGTTCTCCAACTCCATGAAACAGAATATTTGTTTAGAAGCTGATAGTCGCTCATACAGTATTGTCTGACGTCCTGTATAACATTTAATGACATGCTAATTCTTTTTCGGTGAGGAGTTGTTAGTCCGCCTTTATATCCGTCCGAGGACCACCTGCCGTCGGCTGTCCGCGACTGCTTATTGAATATATTCAATATTATCTCCTCCATATCTGGAGACCTTCCTCTCCATGCCGTAGTTTCAGGGCCCACTTAACCCGTGACTCGTCAGATTTACCAGTGTATTCCACAAGAGAAATGTACAAAAGTAGAACTAGTATTTTGTATTTGCAAACGTCTATAAATGGTCGATGGAACAACAGTAAAATATAGTGGCTTTAAAAATACGTAATATATAAGTAATAATTTATTGTGTAGACGGTATGTTCTCTTTGCCCAGAGAAACTTGGAGACGGGGAAGCAGTATGGAAATTATTCTTGGAATTCATGAATCCATGCAATATTAAAAATGTTGGTCGTAAATATTAAGCAACTTTAGCAATTTTCGGATGGAATATTCTGAAATAGTAGTCTAATAATTCAGACAGAGTAAATTAAAACTTCGTGACTGATCAGATATATGAATATCTGTTTTTAAATGAACGGCACATTTTCGAGAAAATATATAACACTAAATAATTTTAAAAGAGTTCTGACGACGGTAAATTTTGCAGTATTTCTGTACTTTGCT